TAGCTGCTGTCATAGAAACTGGTGACCAGTCCGTGTGACAAAAGACTTACTTGTTCACTGGGCAGAGAGCGCCACACTGTGACCTGTTCCCTTTCCAACAGTGTCATTTTTTCTAGACATCTAAGGACTCAGGGAATCCAGTGATCGGTAGGTGGCACTAGAACCTCATATGATAGTATGATAATTTCTCCAGTTTGCTTCCAAGGTATAAATGGTGAGAAGTTGTTCAGTTAAGTTAGAGTCTAGGTGGCATATTGGGGCATTGTGGGCAACCACGTTGAAGATGTAGACTGAAGCCAGATCTTGGAGCATTCAGTCTTCTGAGCTTTCAGTCAACACATACACTTATTGGGCATACACCACGAGCAGCCCCTGTTTTTGATGCAGAGGGTACAGTGGCAAAGAAGACAAACAAAATCCTTGTTCTTGCGGGCCCCAAGTTCCAGTAGAGGGAAAAAGACAATAAACAAGTAACATGAAAACAAGATATCAGGAATGAAAAATGCTAACAACAACGACAACAGAAAGAGGGGTGTGTGGTGGAGCGTGGTCAGGGCACTACTCTTTCAGATTAAACGTCAGAGAAGTCTTCTCTAAGGAGGTGAGCTTTAGCTGAGACTGAAATGAAATAACAAGCCAGCTCCACAAACCAGGGAGATGACTATTCCAGACAAAAGAAATAGCTGGTTCAAAGGCCCCAAGGTAGGAATCAGCTTGTCCTGCTAGAATCATCAAAAGAAGGCCAGAGTGGTTGGAAAATGGTGAGCTAAGAGGACAGTGGTACAAGATGAGGTCTGGCGGGGCCCCACCCTAGGGAGGCCCTGGGAAGTTCACTGCATTTTATTCCCAGTGTAGTGAGAAACTACCAAGACTTCTAAGCAGGGCTGTGACATGATGTGGGTTACATTTTTCAGAGGAGAGGGAGCCCCATCAGGAAGCTATTGCTGTATTCTAGGAAAGAGACGGTGGTGAGCGGGTGATAGGAGTAGACATGACAAGACTGGCGAGTTTCAGCTGCTCTGTATTTTGAGATAGAAACCATAGGGGTTACTAATGAGTTTTATTTTGGTAGAGGGAAAGATTACATAAAGAATGACTCCTAGGTTTTTGCTTGATCAATGTGCTAGTGCTATCAAGTTACTGAAATGGGAATTGAGGAGGAAACAGGTTAAGTCAAGAGTTCTGTTTTGGCTCAAAATGGATTAAAGACCTAAATGTAAGACCATATACTCCAAAACTCCTAGAGGAAAACATAGGCAGAACACACTTCGACATAAATTGCAGCAGTATTTTTTTGAACCAGCTCCTAGAGTAATGAAAATAAAAGCAGAAATAAATAAATGAGACCTAACTAAACTTAAAAGCTTTTGCACAGGAAAGAAAACTATAAACAAAATGAAAAGACAACCCACGAAATGGGAGAAAATATTTGCAAAGAGTGAGAATGGCAAGGAGTTAATTTCCAAAATATACAGACAGCTCATACAGCTTAATATCAAACAAAACAACCCAATCAAAAAATGGGCAGAAGACCTACATAGACATTTCTCCAAAGAAGACATGCAGATGGCAAAGAGGCACATGAAAAGATACTCAATATTACTAATTATTAGAGAAATGCAAATCAAAACTACAGTGAGGTATGACTTCACACCAGTCCCAATGACCATCATTAAAAAGTCTACAAATAATAAATGCTGGAGAGTATGTGGAGGAAAGGGGACACTCCTACACTGCTGGTGGTGCAGCCACCATGGAGGACAGTATGTAGGTTCCTTAAAAGACTAAAAATAGACTTACCCTATGATCCATCAATCCCACTCCTGGGCATATATTTGGAGAAAACTATAATTTGAAAAGATACATGCAGCCCAGTGTCCATAGTAGCACTATTTACAATAGCCAAGACATGAGAACAACCTAAATGTCCATTGACAGATGACTGGATAAAGAAAATGTGGTTTCTATATACAATGGACTATTACTCAGCCATAAAAAAGAACAAAATAATGCCATTTGCAGCAACATGGATGGACCTAGACATTATAACATTAAGTGAAGTAAGTGAGACAGAGAAAGCCAAATATTGTATGATATCACTTAAATGCGGAATCTAAAAAAAATGATACCAATGAAATTATTTACCAACTGGTAATACACTCAGACATAGAAAACAAACTGGTTACTAAAAGGGAAAGGGGTCAGGGGAGGGATAAATTAGGAGTTTGGGATTAACATATATGTGCTACTATACATAAAATAGATAAACAACAAATACCTACAGATAGCACAAGGAACTATATTCAGTATCTTGTAACAACCTATAATGAAAAAGAATCTGAAAAAGAATATCTTTATCTCTCTCTCTGTCTGTCTATCTATCTATCTAACTGAATCACTCTATTGTACACCTGAAACTAACACAACATTGTAAATCAACTATACTTCAATTTAAAAAAGGACTTCTGTTTGGGAATGCTAAGATTGAGATGCTATTTGACATCCAAATGGAAATGCCAAGTAGATGATTAGATATGTAAGTCTGAGGTTTAGGAAAGAGATTGGAGGTGAAGATTGGAGAGTCTTAGCAATACTGTTGATGTTTAAAGTCAAAGGACTGGATAAAATAACCTGTAGTTTGGAAAGAGGGGAAGGTGGCTGAAGAGTGAGCCCCAAGGGGAAGAACGATGGGCTGCCGCGAAATAAAGATCAGTTTTCTACAAGAAAATGAGAATTTTTGATTTAGGTATTTTTGGAGGAATCGCTGTGAATTGTCCTCACAGTTTGGATGATTCAGTCTGAGTCTAAGAATAGTGCTTAAGGGGAACAGTCTTCCATTTGGACTTTTCAGTTGAGGAGATTTGGAAGATTGCTCTATGGCCTAGACTCAGACAGCTTCTTTTTTGCCAGGTGTAGAGCCCACTTCTGGTCAGCCTGTAGCACATTAGGATGTTTATCCTGCCTCCTTTACTACCCTTCTGAGGGCAGGCTCCTACTTCTTGTCTTTAGCTTTGGGCCTTTGGGTGGGGTAGCCATCCAGGCTGCCATGTTGCAAGGTCTGCATGGGCTTGTGTTATACATGTGATGAGGAAGTTACAGAGATCAGGTTCACCTAACTTTGTTCTTAGGTATTTCTCTCCATCCCAAACATCTCTCTTGCCAGTTTTCTTCTTTCCCCTTCATTTTCTGCTCAGAAAACTTTTTGGATCCTATTATTAATAGAAAAAAAATCCAAACTCTTCATGGTAGATTTTGAAGTCCTCCCTGACCTTGCTCAGTTTGTCCTTTCAGCTTTGACTCTCTCTCTTTTCTCTCTTTGGCTTTCCAGGAAGGGTCTAAGTTATAGAGAACATTTGTGAAGAAGATCCATTTTACCTCTGAACAATTATGCAATTTACACATTAGCCTACATACGGGCTTCTCCAATGAGCTTAAGGCCCAGGACAAACCGTGACCCTTCTCATTGCCTCAGCCCCAGGATCATGGCCTTAGCTTAGATGCTTTCTTTTTGAAAGCCTTTTCAAAATCCTTGCAGGCAGAATTACTCTCTTTTTGGTGCCATGACAACAATTTTTCTTACTATATTTATGGCATTTTGTCTTGTTTAACGGTTATTTGCTGCACACATATTTCTTATTAGATTGGAAGCTTCTTGAAGAAAAGAGCTGTCGTTATGAGTTTTTGTATCCTTCCTATGGTGACTATGATCTGATGGCCCTCAGTATCCATTTTCATCAACTGCTCTATTTCCCAGACTCCCTTGTATCTAGGGTTCTAGATGTGAATTCTGTTTTACCAATTAGATGATTTTACATGATGTTTGGAAGGTATTGTGATTTTGGCTATTTCTTTTGGCAAATAAGGTCATGGCTACATGGACATTGATAGGCAATTTTGGTAGCAATGCCAGCAAACTTCTGGATTCCAGCTTTCTGATTCCTCAACTGCAGCACTGGTGACATACTGAACTCAATAGTTCCAGAAGTTGCTTGTTGATTTTTAATGATTGAGCCTTTATAGTTCTAGACATTAAATTCTCTTTTGATTAAAATATCTAAAAAGGTTACTGTTTCATTCACTGAAATGAGGGTCTCATATAGTCTCTTTTGTCTATTACTGTGTAACAGACAGTAGGGACCCAATAAATGTTCAGCTGAATTTACTCCGAAGCCAGACTGGTTTACTCCATCTGCCTACCTATTCAACAAACAGCTAATGAGTGCCACTAACATGAGTGGCTGCCCTAAGTGCTATGTAGAACAAGTTTGAGTAAGATGTGGTCTTATTTCCAGCTTGGTAGGGGAGATAAATGCTATAATGTGAGAAATGATATAACAGGAATGCGTAGAAACTTAGGGAAAGGAGTGCTTGGGGAGGTTTCCCAGAAGATGTAATGTTTTAGTTGGGACATAGAGAATGCTGCAGTTTTTGCCAGGCAGAAAGCGGAGGGGAGGTATTCCAGGCTGTGGAATGGTATGTTCAAAAGTATGAACTGATGAAAGACTATGGTATACTAAAAAAAGGCTAAGTCCCTGGCATGGCTGGAGCATTAAATGCTCTTAGAAGGGCTGGATAGGGCCTATGTGCCATGTTCAGGGGTGTGAACTTTATTCTAAACTCACTGGGAGCCACTGAAGAGAAGGGAGATTAAGGCAGTGGGACTGGAGAAGCGGGAAGAGATTTAAGAGCTATGGTGGATGTAGAGCTGGTAGGACTTAATAGCCATTTGAGTGTGGAGCTGAATGAGGGGAAAGGGTCAAATCTGACTCCTCTGCAGGAGAAGGAGCTGACAATATTTTGACAAGTTCCTTCTGACTCCTTGTTATTTGTTTCATATTGATTCTTCTTTTCTTCAGTGCCCAGGGACTCAAAGAACAAAGAGATCTTAGAAGTCGAGAAATGAGGTCTTATTCTTGGAAAATGGCACACAAGTGAAGAGCGCATGGTCCCACAGTAAAGAAGGAAAAGAGTCCTTGAGGTTAATGCTCACCAATCATTTATTGGGTATTTTAGTACAATTCCATTGTTTTTTTTGTGAAAGGTTTTCAGGCTCCAGGAGCTATGGATCGACAGTGTTGGCTTGCTGGAATCTGCAGACAGATCACATGATTCCTCTCTATTTTGCTGTGATCAGAAACTGGAAAGGCACTGAACTGAAATCAGTCCACTCAGTTCTAGTGGTGGGAGCTTAGGGGACAGTCCCTCTGGTGAGGGGCAGGAACGTGCACACAGGAGGTGTTGTGGGCATCTCCTAGCAGCCTCTCGCTGTGTTTCATTTTGGTGTAGACCACGGCGCTTACAATTCCTGATGGTTCATCCACAGAAGCTCAGCAAAGTCCAGGTGTCCCCTCCTACGGCTGTAATGTACATCTTCGGAATAACTTTCCTGTTTCTGAACTTTTGAGAGGAACTTCTACCTTTCAATGATCCAATCATGTCCCACCTACACGGAGGGCAAACCAGGAAATGATTTCAATCCCCAAATTAATCAAAATTGGGATCCGATTATTTCACCCAATTTACCGCTCAGATTTCACCCAACCGGAACACCCTGGAATTGCTGCTCAAAGAACCGTAATGCCCTAAAAGTGAATACTAGTTCCCCAAAGCATCCTTGCAGATAGATAGAGAATGAAGACATACATTTTCAATCTCTTCCACAGAAGTAAGTATTGACGCGTAGATTTCTTCATCGGCTTTGTGTTGCTTTAGGTCCGGTGGGTGCACGGCCTAGTGCCAGTCCCCTATCTGCTCTTGCACATAGTCACAGAGAGGGTTGGGAGCAAGAGTTGCCTTGCTGGGGTGACTTCCACCCTGTTCTCTTCTTTGGGGCCTCCCACTGCTCTGGGTTGGATGGAAGCCCGGGTCACTGTGTCTCCCCTGGGAACCTCGGGTCCGGCCATCCTCATTCATATGGACTTTTTCTCTGTTAGCACAGCCTTGCTGGGTCCCATGGGACTGTCGATCCGGGGACCCTTGATACCTCTCGCTATCCTCGTGGGTTTGTCTATCCTGTTGTCGCTGACGGTTTGGATCCTCTTCATGGGTGTGTCTGTCCCTCGCCTGACGGATCTGCTCCTCTTCAAGGGTTTGCCTGTCCCGAACCTCACATGGCGCTTCCTGACCCTCATGACCACGTCTACCCCAGCTTTGGTGGCCCTGCTCTTTCTCTGCCTGGTGGCTCTGCCCCTCGCCATGACTCTGCCTGGTCTGGGCCTGACTGTGGCCCTGTTCACTGCTGCGTGATTGCCAGTCTCCCTCTTTGTGACAGAGTGGCCTTTCTTGCTGGATTTGTGCTACTAGTTTGTGTTGCTGGTGCTGGTTATCCTCCTCGGGCTCCCACGCCTGGTGGCTGTCTTGCTGCCCTTCCCTAGACTGGACTCTGTGACCCTGATTTCGGCTCGCTTCCTGTCCTTGAGTCTGTTGACTTGGTCTGCCTGACCGTCCTGATGGCTCAACACGCGAGTCCCTGCTTGTTCCCTCACTTCCTCGGAAGCGCCTATTTTGCCCAGTTTCCCCAGTCTCTGTCTGGCCATATGGAGAGCTCAGGCCTTGTCTGCCTCTCTGACCATAGTGTGAACTCTGGCCTTGTCTGTCTGTCTGGCCATAGTGGGAACTCTGGCCTTGTCTGTCTGTCTGATCATAGTTAGAACTCTGGCCTTGTCTATCTGTCTGGCCATAGTGGGAACTCTGGTCTTGTCTGTCTGTCTGATCATAGTTAGAACTCTGGCCTTGTCTATCTGTCTGGCCATAGTGGGAACTCTGGCCTTGTCTGTCTGTCTGGCCATAGTGGGAACTCTGGCCTTGTCTGTCTGTCTGGCCATAGTGGGAACTCTGGCCTTGTCTGTCTGTCTGATCATAGTTAGAACTCTGGCCTTGTCTATCTGTCTGGCCATAGTGGGAACTCTGGTCTTGTCTGTCTGTCTGATCATAGTTAGAACTCTGGCCTTGTCTATCTGTCTGGCCATAGTGGGAACTCTGGCCTTGTCTGTCTGGCTGGCCATAGTGGAAACTCTGGCCTTGTCTGTCTGTCTGGCCATACTGAGAATCCAATTCTTGCCTATTTCTGTGACTGCAACCTGATTCCTGACCCAGCCTCCCAGACTGTTCATAAGAGCCTGATACCTGTTGGTCTGTGAAGTTAGAACAAGAGTCCTGTCCAAGTCTTCCAGACTGGCCATAGCTTGACCGTTGTCCACGTCTTTCAGGCTGGCCATAATGAGAATCCTGAAGTTGTTTCTCACACTGATTTAAGGCAAAGACATACCCTTGACTTTTAGGTTTGCTACTGCCAGATTTATGACTCAATCTTTCACCAGAGCTAGAGCCCTGACCTCATCTCTCAGACTGACCATAGCGGGAGTCCTGATCCTGTCTCTCGGTCTGACCGTAGCGGGAGTTCCTGTCTTGTCTCTCAGACTGACCATAGCAGGAATCTCCATCTTGTCTCTCAGACTGACCATAGTGGGAGTCCTGACCTCGTCTCTCAGACTGACCATAGTGGGAGTCCTGATCCTGTCTCTCAGTCTGACCGTACTGGGAGTTCCTGTCTTGTCTCTCAGACTGACTGTGGTGGGAGTCCTGCCTTTCTCTCTCATGCCTCTGCCTGTGTTGTCTGCCTGTACTTCCTGGAAACTTTTGGTTTCCTGTTCCCTCCTGCTCCCCTTCTTGCTGGGAAGTTCTGTCTCCACGTGTCTCATCATCCAGCTTATGATAGCAGGCTTGGGCCAATTGGAACACCAACAAGAGATACTCATGAAAATCAACCTGCCCATTTCTGTCTTTATCCAAGAGGCTCAGGATGGTTTCCACAGTCTCTGGGTCATTTGGTCTCTGTGAGAAGATAAGACAAACAGCAAAATCAGATGTTCTCCTGTGGATAGTAAGATATGTGCCAATGTCCATGCGCCAGTCCACTCAGTCCTGTATAAACCTTCCTTGATTGAGAAACCACTAATCTGAAGTGTCTGAGGCTTGGTTCTAGTCTCTGATCAGCTGGTTCTCAGAACCTCACCCCTTGCTGGACCAATGGGAGCCTGATGATAGGGAGTAGATACACTTATTGAAAATCAGCCTCATTAATAACTACTTTGAGTCATTTGAGGAAGCTATCCCACCCCATCAGATACTATATTGCAAATGTTTGCTCATCTCCGTCTTTCCAACCACACTCTGAGGTCCTGGAGGGAGGGAAAGCTGCTTTTATTCGTATTTATATCCCCAGTGCCCAGGATGGTGCTGGTACGGAGTAGGTGCTCAATGACTCTTTGCTGAATGCATGCATGAATGAATGAATGAGGTGTGTGGCAGCACTAAAATATAGAAATCAAGGTACAAATATCAGATTTTTTCTGAGAAATGATTTCCAGTTTGAAATTGTACTCCCTCCTGTTCAAGCTCATTGCAAGGAGGGGTGTGTGTGTGTGTGTGTGTGTATGAATCATGTCTGTGCACACATGTGCATGTGCTGGGAGAGAACTACTAAGGAGCTGCCTGAAACTCTTTCAGTGTCAGGCTGGTGCATGACCACATAAAACAGAAAACATCAAGCCCTGGATGCGGGTGTCAGAGTCACTCACACTTGACTCCGTGAGGCCCAGAGTCTGAGCATCTTACCCGGAGGATGTCTCCAAACTCAGCCAAGAGCAGCTGCTTCAACTCCTTCTTGCACAGTGAGTTACGGTCTCCATTCTCTTTGGCGTATTTCTCGAACACCTTGATCACGGCGAGTATGCTGTTCAGGAGCTGAGCCATTTTGGCAAAGATGAATGAACCTAAAAGAAACAAGATTTTGTCTCTATTTAGAAGATGATATTTATTTATTTATGTATTTTTAGAAACTGTGTATTTTCTGTCAACCTATTTCCATTTTAAGAAGACGATATTTAGAAGAAGACTAGGAGATGGCACTTCCAGAGGGAAAGAGGCCCCTCTTGCTCAGGGAAAGACGCTTAAGAAATGACAGGGCTCCTTGTTAGCCATACCCTTCACACCCTTTGACCCAGAGTCAGGCTCCAAATATCATTGCTGCCATGGAAGGAAGGTACAAGCTGTGTGTCCTCAAATACAAAAAGAGGCAATTTTCTAAATAACAAAAAATATATGGTAGGTGGTTTACGTGCCTCGTCTTCTGCTCCAAGTGGGATTTGCTTGACTGAAACTCTCATATTAGAACAAAAAGGAAAGGAGGTTAGGAAGGCCGCAGAGGTAGCACCAGAAGCCGGTATGGAAAGGCATGGTTTTCTACCAGTGACTAGCCCGCTGAACAGGGTGCTCAGCAGACGTCAGTCTTCTAATGAGTCTTGCTCAGGTGGGGAAGAAGGCTGGAGGTCTCTCGCCATGGGCCGAGGAAGCTTTCTGGGGGGCTAAATCCCAGCAAATGCTTCTGGCATGAATAGTCTTGTTGAAACATACTTGTAGAGTAGAATCAGTGAGTACGAAAATGATTACAGATAAAAATAGCAAGCCAAGTTAACTGTATAGATGAGAGGAAGTATGTACGATCCGCTAGGATCTCATTGGCCTTGCTGGGAGGCTGGGATATTTTGGGATCTCAATCTCAGTGATATTTCATCTGTGGCGGGAAAATTCCAGTTACTGAGTTTGTAAGTCTCCAAACTGCAAAGCGCATTGGCGTTCCAAAGGCATGCAGTGATGCCTGTAAGGATAAGTGGCAAGTGATGAACTGCATGGAACAAGCTGAGTCCCTTGTGGCAATTAACTGCAGTGAGACTTGAATATTATTGTGGCCCCATGGTCCAGGGCCTTGGCCCTAATGAACCCTAAACTCTTGGGTCTTGCTTAACTTGCACAAAAGGTAAGTGATGGGAGACTAAGCTATCCATCAGTAGTTCTAGCCTTTGGTTTGGGGATGCCTAAGGCACACTGAAACAATGGCATGCATATTTTACAGACTCAGAAGTAGGCCACCCCAGTTATCATTATATTCTCAGATAGAGCCAAAAAAGGAAGCAGGAAGGTACCCAAGGCCACCCAAGGGTACAGGGAGTAGTCTCTGACCTCCCCAGCCCAGCACATCACAGCCTGCATCAGGAGCCTCCTGGATACTTCCATTGCTTCCCCATGCATGTCTTACCTGCTGAAGGAGGTGTGAGCAAAAGATTCAGAAGCCGGAGAAGATACTGGACACCTGAAAACCCACCCTATTTATAAGGGTTTTAATTGCCCTACTAGACCGTCCCAGGAGACACCTACTCTGTGGTGGGGCCTGAATCACTCTGGGCCAAGCCCAGCTCAGCCCGGCCTGACCTCTCCCTCTGCAAACCGTTTGATCTATTACTTCCCCATTTGCTGATGAACCTGTTTGTCATTAGAGCAGGTGACACTGTTCAAGTCCCAGCCCCATTTAATTAGGGGAGTGTGTGTGTACAGGCATGTGTGCAGCAGAGGGTCCCACAAGACAGAGGCGTAGGCTAAGTTCATCCTTAACACGTCACTCACCAAGACGAATGGCGGATAACAGTCAAATCATAACAAAGAAGGATCCTAATGCAGTCACTTCATAAAAATCTGTCAAGAGATTCTAGGTGTACAGCCAGGACATAGTTCCTGGAAGAGATTTGTCTCAGGTTGTCTTGCTTGTATAGGTAGATATGTGTATTTTAATCTATTGACCTAATTATAATTTTTTTTAAACAGTCTGCAGGCTAGAAGGAGAAGTAGACACATGGCCAGTTTTGGAAGGAAAGGATGTGATGGTGGTAGAGCTTCCACCATTGGAATCTTCTGAGGTCTTGCTAAAAAGTTAGAGTTGAGGGACAAGGTGGAATTTTATGATTCCTGTGAATACAGATGCTGTCACAGACCTAGGCCTCCATTTATTCCCATCTCTGCACCCATGACATTCCAGCAATATCTTAAGATAGGAGATTCTCAGTAAATATTAGTGGAGTAAATGAATTGCTGAATTATAGAAGCATTTGGGAGGCTTGCGTAAAGTGAAAAAAAAATCTAGATTCACCTCTACTTTCTAATTTGTCACACATCTCGATCCCTGATTGGACTTTTCCCTATGCATCCTATCCATACAGCAATTAGTTACTAGTGATGGCACTTGCTAATTGTAGCTATGTGCTCAGGATTTTGCAAAAGAATCATGAAAGTGCAGAGAGATTTTGGTCTGGTTGGAATAAAGCAGAGAAAAAGATTCTGAACACCAGGAGCAGGCCATGAGAAGTGCTGAGTGTTAAAAAAAAAAAACCCGAGGGGCATGTGGTGTCTTCATGGGCAGAGCCCAAGCTTCCCTTAGGAGGTGGGATTTGTGCTGTTCCTCGAAGATTCAGGTGGGCAGACAAAGAGAAGTCCTGGTGAGGAGAAGGGAAAGACCAAAGGTCCAAGGAGAGACTTCACAGGATGTGTCTGGATTAGAGTCAGCTGGTAATTCTGGCTGGGGCAAAGGGGATGTAGAAGAAGAGAATGAGAGAATTTTGGACCCGGAAAGGAAGTCTAGTCTCAGTCTCCTAATTTTACAGGCAAGGAAACTGAGATCCAGCTAGACAGAGTGCCTTGCCAAGTCCCACAGGGCCATGACTAAAGCCAGACCTAGATCCTCGTTACTTTGCGCAGCTGTACGCTTTCTTATACATTCTCTGATAGGCCTGCTGTCAGGTTTATTTTGATGAGAAATGGGAAGCAGAGAGCATTTTGGTCAGGAAAGTGACATGATCAAAACTTTGTCTGGGGGAAGATGTTAATCTGCCTGTGGTCAGGCGGCCCACTGTCTCGGTTTGTCTGCGACTAGGAGGTGTCCCAGGACATTCAGTGATAAAGGTGTGAGAGTTCTGGGCAACCTGAGAGAAGTCAGTCGCCCTAGACTGTGACATCCAGAATGGACTGCAAGGAGGCACGCCTGGGCAGGGAGAGCAGTAAGTCTATTGTACGAGCCACAGGAGAGGCGATAGGGCTTTGACTTGGACACAGCAGTTTTAAACAGTAGGGAGGTAGCCGGGTGATAGAAGGAAAGGAAGGATGGGGTTAGGGGACATCAGCTGGGGGGCAGAGAAGGTGGGGAAGTTGGGGAGACTCCCAGGCGTCAAGCCGAGACAACTGGGAGAACTGTGGGTTGCCAAAGAGATGTGACTTCTGCAGGGGGCTGAGCAGGGCCTAAGACGCCGCTCGCTCACTGGCGTTCCACAGGGGGTCTGCCTTTTGAAGCCCTGCCACCCTCCCTCCAGCCTGTACCCTCTGCTGTTCGGGGTGTCCTGGCCCTGGTCGGACTTTAATCCTGAGGGCTGGGTCATGCTAAGATTCTCTTTCTTTCTGCTTTTGTGTCTCGACTTACGAGCACTGTTCAGTTATGTCTCTTCTTACCTATTAGAGCCAAACCCCAGAGATTTGGTGACCCCAGAGGCAAGTAGAGAGAGTAGAGGTGGGATGAGAAGTGGGTTAAGACAACAGCCATTGTGATGGAGGGGAGCACAGCTGTGGCCCCTTCTGTCGGCGTCTTCCAGGTCTCCCTAGCAACAACTGTTTCTTTTGGTTAGATGGGCAGTTCTCTGCCTGATGCTGTTGTGGGGAGAAAGAATGTGTTCTTAACTAGGGTCTGCTATGTGTGCATTCATTTAACTCTTAGTGAGTTTCTATGGAACGAGCAGAGAACGGTTCATGCTGCTCAGTCCGTGGGGATTTGTGAGTATATGGAGGGCCATTTTGCAGGCACTGAGACAAAAGACACCGTCTTTGTCCTTTAGGAATTTTCAACCTCACTGGGAGGAAGGATACACAGGCTCCTTCTCTGCGATTCAAATTGCTACTGTCATTCATAGATATTGAGAGAGGTTGATCAGAGGGAAAAAGGGAAGGATGCAGGGGCTAGAAATAACACATATTTGAAGCAATCGTGGAACAGACTTGGTAATCTGGGGTAAATCACTTAACCTGTTGGCCGTGAGTTTCTTTGTCTACAAAAGGAGAAGGTTGGATTCATCTCTAAACTCTGCTTTGGCATTAACATTCTAAGATGCTGCGATTTCAGTCTTAGGGTTAGTGGGGGCTTTAGAGGTTATGTTTTAACTTTGCTGTAATCATGACTTTGATAAAGGGCTAAGAACTTTGTATTCCTCAATCTTTTTCTGTCGAAAACAGGGAGGGCAATTATGGTTGTTCTATTACTTGACATTTGTAAATTGCATGAGAACCAGTGCTGTTTTTTTCATTGTTATTGAGTCTGTTTTGCTGCTTTTATTTGCATTCATGTTGGATGTTGGCCTGTGGTCTCAAAGGCAAGATGCTTTTAAGCTGCAGTGTATTGTGTGCTAGGCTCTATGTTAAGCATTTTATATATGATGTGTTGTTTAATTCCACAACAACTCCATGAGGCAGGGAATATTATCATCAGTTTTCAAACAAGGCAACTGAGATTCGGAGAGGGATAAATAACTTGCTTAAGGTCAGGCAGCTTGGAATGCCTGAGCTGGGGTTTGAACCCATATCTTCCTGATTCCAAAGCCCTTGTTACAACTCCTATGTTATGCTGTTTCTGTTGGAACAGGACTGGTGGTTGCCCACTCCCCAGTGAGAGAAATAGCTTTCCACACACGCTGAAGTGAGTAAGAATAAAGTAACTTCCTAGTGCATGCTATGAAGGAATCCAGTCTTGAAATGAGAACCTCCCGATGCTTCACCAGTCAATTATTTCTTGTTTACCTATGCTTCTCCAGTACCTGAGTGGTCCCAGCACTGAAGGAGCTTGGAGTCTCTTTGGGGAGACAAGATAGATGGTTACACTTATAAAA